TAAAACTTCGGCCGGCAACTGCAAACCTTGAATTTTTAGATTTTGTTGGAATGATAGATGAATCAGTTGTAAATTGAGTATTTAATAATGAATGATAATGCTAGTTTTGTCATTGCAGCTTAATTTAAATCAACGATTCAAAACTATCTTTAATCGATTTTTTAAACTTCTGGTTTTAGGTCACCAGTGAATTTAAAGAAAATTCAGGACTCTCATCAATAAAAAATCGTAGGGAAATGTACACCAAAGCTAGTAAATTTTGTGTGGATAAACTAAATGGTCGATTACTTTATGCCGAAAATGTCGATGAGTTCAAATATTTATACAGTAAATATTTGTACTTTCAAAATAAAGTTTTTTTCTAAAAAAGATTTGCTACATCATACCAAGCAGATTGTTCCCACTTTGCGAGATTTTTATTAGTTTCACTATGATTTTAAAAAACGATAGTCATTTTACGCTTTTACGGGTAAATACAAACTTATACATATTTTTTTGATTGCAGATGTGTTTTATAGCAATCTAAGTTCTGAAGAAATAATACCTGCGTCTATGCTTTTACTAAACTATGAGATGCAATTATACGCCGAAACTGATGTGCTAAATAAAGACGTGTATTACAGCACTAGTGACCACGGTTTTTTACTTAGTTCTGAAAACGGAGGTAACTGCGATTTTGGTCATTACATTAGTTTTAATGTCAACAGAGAGTTTTCTCGTAAGCCACTTTTATGCGGTTTTTTTGTGTTTACTGCTCTCGGCATACAGTTTTGTAACATGCAAAGCAATTTTAATAAGTGAGACCATAAAGCCTTTTTTTCAATGCAAAAATTATTGCTGTTTAGATACTATTTGTTATCCAGAATGGACTTTTTTTGGCAGATCATGTTTTAAAGCAGTGAGTCTATCGTTTAAAACATCGTTATAATTCAAGTTCCAATAGTCACTTGAAAAATAATTAAACAAATAAGTAATTATCACGCTATTAATTCGTCAGCTTTTTCTCATCTTTTTATTTATGATAAAGCAAGAAAAAATTATTGCACTGCGAATAAAGTTTCGTTTTGAAAAATCATCTTATCAAAAAAATGCAGTAGCTGAGATTAATTTATTTATTTGCAGTATGACAAAAAAAAGAATTTAAAAAATCTTACTTGAGAACTTCTTTTATAAATGTTTGTTATGAGAAATGAACATAATTTTTGATAAAAGAACTATGGTGCAAAAAATAAATCAGATGATGAAACAGTGAGATAGAAAAATTAAGATTTATGAGAAAGAAAAAGACTAGAGTGGGGAGCATAAATAAAAATATTTGATTTTTATGCAGTAAAACGCTGAAACTTGACCAGTTTGTGCAGTTATGCTTTGCTTTATGTTTTACGGTTTGTTATCTTGTGGCTAAGATACCTCGAGAAACAATAAGGCAATTTTTACGCAATTCCTCTTCTGACAATTGCTTTTTAAATCTTCTAAACTTTTTCTTAGAAAACGAATTTCTTTACCATATAGAACACAAATTTTTTAATGAGGCGAACAAACCTGCGACCAGAGAACAAGTTAGGATTTTTTGTGTTAAAACTATAATGAATGCGCGCTTTATATAATATAATTTTGTTGCAAACGTTTTTTTAAACCAAATTTTACCCACTTTGTAAACGAAGAAATAAACTGTGGACCAAAAAACATTGAAAAATAGATCTTGTAAAGTAAGATTATAAAGGGATACGCCGAGTATTGCAAAAGTGCATTTGTATTCATTGAAGTCTATAAGAGAATTTTTATCACGTTTTTTGACTACTGCTACTCATCTGCACTGTTATTGAATAGTATGTTGTATCCAAACACTATTAGTTGCTATTAAGCCTACGATAAACTACAAACAGTAATTTGCTTTATACATTTATCTCTTACAGTTTGAAGAAAAGATGGAACTTGAACAGGCAAGAAAATTCTGTAGAACTATGCGGAAGACACATTTGGCAACTTTTTCAGACATCAAGCACGTAAAAAGTGTTTTCGGTAAGTCGGTCAAAAAATTTCAATTTTTCTTTCTCTGGGTTGACCGTCATTGGCAACCGACAGTGCTTAGAAACCGTAAACTTCAAAAAAATTGGACTTATTTTTCGACGCACTTCAAATTACGGAAGGAAGATATTGGGTTGGAGCAAAACGAATATCCTCAACCTGGTTCTGGGAAAATGGTGTGAATTTGACTCATTCGGCGTTTTCATTGCCTACTAGTTCGTGGTACAACTGCATGGCTGGCACTCCTACAAATTTAACCTATGAGAGTGACTGCAACTCAAAACTTGGGTTCATCTGCGAGTATTCAAGTACAGTTTATCAAAAAATTTGTATTTAATATCAATAAAAACTGTGTCTCTTCTTACGACACTCTGTCAACACCTACACCTTGCAAAGATTGTAAAACGAGAGAGTTCTCATTAAGTTTTCTGCGCTGTTGCAAGCTTTTTCGTTCTTAATCTGTGGCAAAACTAAAAAAACAAAAAATTTTCAGGTAACTTTGGTGTTCTTCCAAGTAACGAAATTAAGAGAATTGTTTGCAAAGGATATTATAACCTAGAAGAATTACAAACTGCTATAACAGATGATACTGACGACACGGTAAATAAAACAATTAATTCTTAAAATTGAGCACATTTTTCACATTTTATCAGCTTCTCGTAAAACTTACAAACTTTTACCGTTTATTGGCGGCAAAACGGCATGGTCTGAAACAACCACTTTTGATAAAGTTAATTATTATTTTATCATTTGTTTCTATATCGTTCAGCCAATGTTGCTTCAAATCTCACGCTAGTGTTTTTAGGTTGAATTTGAAGATAATTTAGACACCGGTATGCATAGTTATTTAAAAAGATACACTTAGAAAAACCCAATTTGAGATAACAGATAAATTCTGGTCAGACATCTCTCGTTTGGACAGTTTTTATAACTTTTTGCTGTTAAGAAATTGTTTTTTAAATTGTTGTATAATAATCTTAGCAATCAATGTATTCTTAAATCTGCTTTTATTTTCTACTTATAGCTTCTTTTGCGTATTTTTTAAATTATTTTTAAAAATTTAAGCGTAAAAAAAATGTTACTGAGTTTTTTTGTGCTGCAATATCTTTAACAGTTAAGCTCGACTCTCCTTTTCCTTTATTTTTCAAGTAAAAATGATGTTTGCAGACAAATTATGGTGCCCTATTGAGTGGCTTAAAGTTGACAAAAGTTGTTTTCATCTTGTAAGTTTATTAACATTTTCTATTTTCTGTTTTGTAACTGGTTCTTCATTATTTTTTGTGTGTTATTCTGTCAGCAGGAGTTTAGTTGTACTATATTAAACTACCACAGTATTACTTCGAATACTGCAGTCAAATTAAGCAAGACTTCTAACACTTAATATTGCTAAACAGTATCACAAAAATCTCTGTTTTACTAGTACTATACCGAAAAAGATTTGCAATTCTCATTAGTTTTATTAAAGCTCGCTGATCTCTGTTCTGCTGTCAAAAGAACAAGAATGGAAAAGAAAACTGTAGAACTACTTCTCAACTTCTTTCACAGCTGTTTTATATCGTAAAATAAAAATTTTATCATTGTCACTTCTGTCATGAAAACATGCTTCTCCTTAAATAAAAATATTATAATTGGGTAAGATTAACTTTTTGGTCAAGCAAAGAATAATAGACATAAAAATGAGAAATATAATATTTTTGATCAATTAAGACCGCAAAATGTTCGTTATATAAGTTGAGTGAAGGTTATACCATCTAGTACTAAATAACAAATTCAGTTTTGGTTCAGACCTAGTTCTAAAAACCTTTATTTTTCACAAATATAATGCAAACAACAATAATTTTTGATTAGTTATGATTTATTCTGATGAAACAAGGTGTGAGTGCGCAGTTAAAATAATGGAATACATACGTTAACTAAAGTTCTCTCTACAACAGACTTGTAACGCTTTTTGAATATAATTGTATTTTTCTTCTGATTTTTGGATCACTTATTGCTGTTCAGCTAAATCTTGAGAAATCTGAGTTTTTCTAGAAAAATTTAACACTAAAAAAAATGAATAAATTAGTCTTTTAGTTATAGATCAGAAAATATATAAGTGTAAGAAACTAACTGTAAAAAAATTTAAATTATCTTAAACTCTCATTGTAGACAATATAAAAAATCAGTTTAGAATTCTTGATCAGAAAAAATGCTTGACAGCTGAAAATCACTAACTATTTCCGAAAAAAAAGTAGCCTGTTGCAAGTGGTTGTATATAAGTTCAAAAATGATTATGCCAGCAGATAGATGAGTAAATGGCGCTATTAGTTAACTATGCTAAACAATATTTAGAAATTTAGAAAGTTTTTTTGTATTTAAGGTTTTCAGTGCTGATTCGCATCAACAACCAATTTCACCGCATATTTCTCTTGAAGAAACTTACAGAAATTACTTACTCACTGTTCTAATATGTCGAACCATAACCGAGTAAAAAATTACTTTTTTCCTATTTGTTTTTGCTTGCCACAACTTGTTGTATTTTTTCCAGTATTATTTTCATGAATGCAACTTATCCTCAATTCAGCATCGTTAAGCTTTGGGCCGGTTTCTGTACCAAAAATAGACATTGTTCTTTTAGTGCGACTTAATATTAGTAAGAGTCTATTGCACGGTATTTTCAGCAGTTTGCAACGAGAAATGCAGAGTTAAGCTTACTGTTGTTAAAATTTCACCGCAATGATATAACCTTCAATAGAAAATTATTAAAAGCAAAATGATATTAACAAGCGTGTAGAAGATTCGGGTAATTCTAAGTGCTCTAGCTATGAAAATCTTTGTGGCAGCAGAAATATTAGTTCACATTGATGCGTTCATCTAGTACCAATGCTTTTAGTTTAAAAAAGTATTTTTTTAAAGGTAAGCAAACGATGAGACTAAAAAAAATTTATAAGACAGAATACTAAGTGTTCTTAGTAAAGGCCTGCTAAGCAAAAATGCTCACGTATGCTCACGTTTCAAAACCCTTTTTAAAACACCAAATTCTCCAGCGTAGCTTATGTGGTGTGAAAAACAGCAAACCTGCTAGACAGTAAATTTGAACTGCTGAAAAATGCAAAAATTTGCAAGTATATATTTTGAATAATTCGTCTTATTTCTTTCTTACCCGCATCATTTCTTTAGAAAAAACAGTTTTTAGATTACAGATATTATATTTTTTAAATTCATGACGCTACACTAATATTTTAAAGTACTTTTTACGCAACTGCAGAACTGCTCTAGCATTATTCAGAACACTTGCTAATTCATCAAAAAAGGTTAGCATTTAACTTAACAAAAAAGTTTGACTTATTCTTGCGTAAGTTTTTCTTGCAAAAATTGTCGTCTTATTTTTTGTAAAAAGCAGACTTTCCAAATCTTTGATTAAAATTACCCCAAAACTTTTAAAATTCTTATGTATTTGCGACTGCACATAAACATTTCTGTTAAATTTCAGTCTTTCTGCGCAATTCTTTACAAAATTTTTGATGCCTTTTTTGTCACAGAAAAAATTCTTTTGTAAAAAAGAACGTCGTCATGTGCTATCATGCAGTAGAAGTACTTTTAAAAAAGAAAATGTCTCAATAACTCGAAAGAAATGAGACGTATAAATTTTCCTGACAGATAAAAATGATTATATTTAGAGAGTTTACTTAACCTTTGCTTTAGAACACAAAAACTTCTCAGCAATGATGTTGAGGAAGGAGCTGAATTAATTTTTCTTCTACTGTTAGAAAAATTAGCATGTTTTGAAATTTCTTCGAACATAACAAGAAAGCGTAAAGGTCGTTCCTGTTTCTTAACGTTTAGTGTAAGTTGGAAACGTTTTTTTCGGAGGCATTGATACGTAATTTTAAGAAGTGTTTTTACATATAGTTTAGATAGCATGTTGTAAGAGGCATCTACCATATTTGGTGCTTTTAAGTTTTCAGAAAAGGTGACTTGGGATGAAGCACAGCGGCACTGTGAAGCTAGGAGAAGTTACCTGGCAACTTTCGACAGTGCATTACAGTATCGTGATATATCAAGTAGAAATTTTTTTTGATTACTCGGCGTGTTTTTAGAATATTAACATTTTAGTGTAAAATTAAAATAAAGAAGTCTCTAGTTTATCAAATAGAAATCGGAAAATGACGTTAAATGTTATATTAAAGAAAACTTTTAAGTTCCGGTCACAGATACTTTTTCAGTGCAATTTTTGGTGAAGTACGTTAGTATGTTTAAGACATTAGGTGGACAGTGCTTCATTAGACATTGAAATTGCAGCTGATGTACTCCTTGTATTGTCGCCATTTTCTCCTGAGTCAAAATTTATCTCAAAAACTTCCAGCAAACTGCTGCACAGTAATTACTATATAGAAAAAAAACTAAAAGTTTGATAAGAGAAAGAAAAAAAAACTTGGTTTTTTTCATGTCAGTACTACTGTATCTAATTTATATTTTTTAAGAGGAATTAGCGCGTAATCCGTTCTGGTTTGGATTTCGGAAAAATGCTAAAGGGTGGGAATGGGTTGACCTGCAAACACCTGTCTATAGCGAAATGCCTACAGAAAGTAACGACGTTTTGGCAGAATTTCACTGCGCTTACGGGACGCAGACGGGAGCGTGGAACACAGCTCTATGTTCGGAAAGAATGGAATACATTTGCGAATTTCGGCGTTAGTATAACATGTAGAGACATGTTACATAAACAATAAGCGGCCTTTTCAATATACCTGTTAGATACACATAGACAGTGTCAATTAAAAACTTACTGCTGAGTTAGTAAATTGAAGAGTTTACCCGCGCTATCTTCAGAATGCAGTTTCAACAGCAATGAAGTCGAATGTCTAGTTTTTTGGTTTTCAAATATTGTTTTTTAGTCGAAAAATTCTCAGCAAAAGTTTTCTCAGTAAACGTTTAGTTTTATTCTTTTACAGAAAGAAAAAGAGTTATCACAAAAACCAAGCTTATAATTTACCTGCTGTTTCATAGCTGTTGGTAACCGACTGCAAAAAGCAGGAATTTCTCTAAAGATGAAACAAATCTGAGGATTATTTATCGTAAAACAAGAATTGTGGCTGTACTTGTTAATAAAGATTAAGGTTCTACAAATTAAAATCTCTCAAAAATGCGGCTAACTGTTACGGAAGTAATTTCAAAACTGGGTTAGGATAAGCCGATAGAAGACAGTCAAAGACTTGAAAAGGATAAGCTCAGGCTAGTTTACAAAATTATTTAGGCAATAAAAAATTTATGACTACTCTGAAAATGCAGTCTAAATTTGGTGAAACACGGTTTCAAAAACAGATAAATGGTCAAATTTTGACAAAAATGCTGATGGCAACAGGGTTAAATATTTGAATTTCAAGCAGATAGCCTCAAACCTGTACTATATTCGGCAATAATCATAGAGACACTATAAGTATCAAGTTTTTGTGCACAACTGCCAGTGTGTATCCTGTCTTAGACTAGCTTCACATCACTTGTTTCCACTTTTCGACAGATGTACTCTTTTCGCTGTAGATACTGATTTACCTGTAGTTTTACTACAGTCTGGCTACAGAGATGACAGAAAACCATTCTGTCTCGAAACCAGCAAAAACTTAAATTCAGTCGAAATAGTCTTCAGCAACCAAAGTTATTTACAGTGTTTTGCAAATAATGCATTATCAAATCATTTTAGCTGAACAACACTGTCGAGTAGGTTTCACTGAATATGGAAACAACTGTTATTTTCATGTAATCTTTTTAAAAATAATTTTTTTAATTTTGCGCTTGGCAAATTACAAAGACAAATTTATGATCATAAGAAAATTCAATTAAAAAAAGTTTTGTTTCGCCACTGTTGAAAAACAATTGAATAATTAATAGCTAATGTAATATACTTTAGCGTATAGTTGAGAAGCAAAGTGTTTTAAAACTCAAAAAAAGCAGAATTTTTAAAAATTTTTTTTTGCCTTACGTGTCAAGGTTATCACAGAATTTTGCTTTCTTTTTTTTTGAAATTATCTCAGCGGTTTAATTATTATCAATTCAGGCTGTTTAAAATACGAATCAAAAAACTTTGAAAAGAGTACAGCTTAGATTGATTTCTGTTATAAGAGAAAGATTTTGAGAATAACATTTAAAATAGCGTAATAAGTCAAATATTCGTGCTCTGGATAAATAAAAAAAAGTAAAACATTCTAGTTTAAAGTAGTAATTATATTTTTAAATATTGTAAATAAAGAAAAGTTTGATATTACCAGAGAAAATATCTGAAAAAAGATCAAAGGTTTTACAGAAATACAAAAACGTTAATCTGGAGGAAGCTGTGAGAATATGTCTTTCTAGAAGAGCAGGGTTAGTATGGATCGAATCAGCAAAAGAAGAAAAGTTTTTGACTAGTAAGCATTTTCTTATTTTTTACTAATTAGCGTAAATCACTAATTTCCTTTTACCTCTTTACTGCCTTTACTTCATCAGTCTTATCTATTTTTTCTGTTTTTACGCGTTGAATTGCTCAACATTGTCAATTTTTATTCCAAGGCCAGATTTAAAAGGTAAAAAAAGCTTTTTATATATACACACAAGTACACTCACTTTTGCTAAACAAGTTTTAAAAACTGCAACTTGAAACATCTCTTGTTCAAAAAAAAAAAAACGCTGCTCAAGCAGATACAGTGTATTTTCGCGAGACAGAGCCTGGTTTAGTTACGGTCTTTACCATTTTTTTCTCTATTCAAATTGGTATTGTATTCATCGTGAAATAATAGTGTTTTATAAAAGTGTTAATTGCACAGGTCGCATAACTCGCGACCGATATTGGCTGGGGTTAATCTTCTGGAACGGCGCATGGCACTCACTCCAAAAGAAGTTTAGACCGTACGTGAGATGGAGGAACGAGCAAGAAAACGAGTGTTGTGACGAAGATAAAGCGAAGTTTGCAATCAGAGAAAACAGTGGGTGGAAATATAGCTACAGAACAGAAAATGCAACTGTTCTTTGCAAATACCGAAGTTAATACTTTTATTTAAATGGTTTTTGAGCCGAAAAAAAGCAATATCTGAACTGCAACTCGTATGCGTCTCTTGCAACTGTTAATCATTTCAGAGCGTTTTATTGAAGACTTCTACGATTTTTATGCTAGAGTTTTGAAAAAAGAAACAACAACAACTACGACGACAACTCCAAATGTAACGCAGGTAGATCTTTTTCAGTCTCTGGGCTGCTAGAAATATTAATAAAACACTAATAAAATTTCTTATTCTAGATTACTACAAATTTTTTGTTATTAATTTTACGCGGTTCGCGCTATCGTCTTTCTTTTAACCCTCTACAAACCTTTCTTCAAATGAAATGTGGCAACAGTTGCATGCTCCTAGTTTCGCCTATATAGTTTATCGTGTCAAAAAGCCTCAATTATTGTGTCAAATCCATCACCAAAAAATTCTTCTTAAAAATTTTTTAAAATTTTTTTGTAGTCGCTGACTTATTTTCTTAAGTAGAAAGTTTTAGCATTATTAAAGTTACAAATAACGAAACAAATTATAGGAAAATTACTCTGTTTGTCCTTGTGACTGCAGTTTCAGAAACTTTACAAAATTGTGCATTATGAGTGTTTCCAGTATGTTCTAAATCAATTGTACAAACGGTCAGAGGCAAATTTAGGTAAGAATTCAGGGCAGCAAATATGGCACTCAAATGTTAGATAAGCTTTCAAATAAATCCTAATTAAGCTAATCAATTTCTTTGCGAAGAGTATCTCCTATAAAAACCAAATAAAACAAGGAATATTTTAACGTCTTTCGGTTAAAAAAGGCGTAATTGCTGCTTATGAAATAGAGTTTCATGGTCACTAGGTTAAAAAAATAAAAATTCACCTAGACCAGCGACCTTTAAAGTTTACAGGCTTGAAAAACATATAGAAGCGAGTGACGAGCAGGAACC